AGCTGAATATTGGCCAAAAACTAGTTATGTGGAAGGAGTAAAGGATCACAGTTTACCACTTTAACGTTCTTAGTACCGAACGTCCGCTTTCAAAGCAAACTCCATTGACACTATACTCGTGACAGAAGGTGCTTTGTCATTTGAAATATGTTCAATTTGTCAATAATCCTCACCTGATACTACCGAAACTCATTTGGAGGCCGACATCAGTTCGCTGATATTCCTGGCATACGGTGATGCAGTATGCCAACTGTATGGACTATTCCATAACAGGATCACTCAAACATGCTCTTTACTGTCTACACCTGTAACTCAATATCGAGTAGTAAATAGACATTAATCCGCATTTGTCCATCCGACTTTACAAATTAGTGCATTTTGCCATCAATGAAATGAAATACTCGAATTGCTTAAATAAAGCAAAGATTTGTTCCGCCTTACACTTGAAAATCGGACACTTTTTGAAGTTGGGTGGATGGGTGTGGAGCAAAGGTGGTAGAAATTTCTACTTCTTAATCTTTCAGCAAAATTCCAACACGGAAATCTGAAAATTGCCTGTAGTCCTGTAATATTTGACTTAAGACAATGTGTCATAGGATTGTCATCGGTATCGGTGTTTCGCCAAGAAAGTTCTTCAATACTAATTAGAGAGAGAAAATGATGTACAAGGCAATTTTGCACATTAGAATTTTCGAGAAGTAAACAGAGTAGCATGGCCTTCAAGTGAATGCGAATTTAAAACTGATGGCCTCTAAGTGATGAAGTTTTAAGTTCACTCTATGAACAGCATATATCAATAGGGACAACTGTAAGAGAATATGCTTTTGTCATTTGAAATATGTTCAATTTGTCGATTATCCTCATCTGATACTACCGAAACACATCTCGAGGCCAGTATCAGTTCGCCGTGAGACACGAATGAGTGCAGTTTGGTGCACATTTATTTTGCTATTGATGAAATGCAAAAACTATACTGTTTTAAATATCAACACGAAATATTATTAACTCAATTCAATAGCCAATAACCACTGGTAGGTAATATGGATTCTGTTGAAGCACTTTAACTTTCTTATGTGACAATACATTACGGTTTGTAGGGTGCTGTTTAGTTCAAAAAATAATAAATGTGAGTTCACATATTGAAACCATAAATATACTGGTTATCAATCCCAGTTATTTGATAAAAGCGTGTAGTTAGTTTGCTTTAATAATTAGCCTTTGCAGAGTCCCAGTTGAGTAAAACATGATACCGTTTCGCCGACTTGACCACGGGACCACATTGAGGCTAGAGCTTATTTTAATTATGGTAAACGTGGTACATGTTGACACCTGTCTTTTCCAAATGTGCAGTGGAACTAGTGCTTTCGAAGATGGCAAATGCTTTGCATTTTCAAGCTACTTGCAAGCTTAAACTGTGCTATATTGATTGGTTTGGGTTTTGGAGAGGGAGGTTGTGGTTTTGGTTTTGGTGTGTGAGGCGGGTGGTAGGGGGGTGTGATTGGGATTTGATAAGTGAGGTAAGAACAGTGTCATTAAGTGGGAAAGTAATGAGGGAGTCGTCTTGGTGAGGCGTTATTTTGGGTTGATGTGGGCGGTGGTTGGGTTGCAGTGAAGCGCAATTCACGAGATACCATGATACCGTTGATCGTTGTTTTAGTAAGAGCACTTGTGAGCGAGGGGTAAGGGAGCGTTGTTTGAGCCTTCATTCTTAATGCATTGCAAGTTGATAAGGTAATATTGCTAAGGCTCTAGTTTGTCACTTGTTATTTCAATAAAATGAAAGGATTCAGGTAGAAGCAAAAGTTGCATATCACTCTATTTATGTGCATTTTTGGCGAGATTCCATCTCACTTAGCTTAATCACTACCCATGCAGCTACCTTTCAGCGCCTCTCAATTTTAATCTACCCAGATGGCCATTGAGAACAAATTCGAATCTTTTGAACTTCTTTTGTTTCTGTTATCACGTGGTAGAAGAAAGGTCCAAACATGAGAATAAAGAAGTCCACTGATAAGAGAGCTAAGGAAATCAAAATGGCTATGAACTTTAAGTGACTTATTGGTGTGACTTAGTCAAAGTTGCGGTACTTCGAGGCAGCCTTACACAAACAAATTGAATAAAATTGGCATTGACCTGAAGATGAGATTAGAGATAAACATTAATTAATGTTGTTTGTGATAACCTTGAGCACACTCGATTAAGGCAGATAATTGGAATTTTATTTGCTATTTGCATTACACGAAAGTATTGAGGTCACATTACAAATAATGAGGTCTTCATGTCTAACTCATTAAGCTCTGCGATTTGAAAATTGAGTTTTGGTAGCATGACCATTAATGAATGAAATGGTGTGAGCCCAATGTCATTCGAAATATGACTTGGGGTCGATGGATAGGCGTTGTGAGGAATACGGACCCATTTGCTTGTACTAAGCCAACTCATCCAACCGTTAAGAAGAAGTAGTCGAGTTGAGGGAATCAACTTCCTGTCATTTTGATCTTGTGAGTATAGGCTTGGAAGATGCGACACCCAATGCGCTTGTTTGTGTGTAGCCATGATGGTGATGGTGATGGGGAGGATAGTTAGAGTGATGGGATGAAGAAGAAGAAGAAAGTGAGTGAAAAGGAGGTGCACTGAGATATTAAGACAAATTGAAGTGTTTAATGAGGTGCATTCAATTATCACACAAATTGGCACTTACTTCTCCACTTTCTCCAACTGCTCACTTCCAACTCTATTTTCACAGCGACATTTCCATGTTGGAATACCATTTCAGTATTTTCCTCTAAAATCTTTCAGAATAATCATTGTGCTCTCCGGTGTTGGTGGTGGTGATGGTGGCGGTGATGGTGGTTGGAAGAATTTCGATTTATTGTGTATGATAAACTACTCTAACCTCTCGATATTGCATTGAATTGTCCTTCATCAAACTTTGCATTAGCATACTAGTACCTAAATGTTGGGTTATGAATTCGGAATTCATGGCGGAATTCTCCTGAAGCTCCAGCTGTCTTTACAATTTGCACGTCCAACACATTCATATCTGATACATAAAATTCACATTTGCTACAAATTGTCTCAAATTTGAGTAATTCCATCACTAAATTCAAATTTCTAGGATATCCATCTTCACCTATTTCAACTAGTATATTATTTGAATTGTCGAATTGAACTTTGTCAACATATTCAACTCCTCCTGTTGCTTGTCGTGTTGACGATTGCAATCGACTAACTTCTATTCTACCACAACCAAAATGATTCAAAAGGATATAATTTAATCCATTGAGGACTACGTGTGAAATTATTGTCAGCATACCAGTATCTCATGAAAAAACGCTTCCAAGTGGTAGTATTAACAAGAAATGTCGTTTATTGAGACTTTTCAGTGGTATTTTCATACGGATCAGGTAGCGCCAACATAAACCTATTTCTTAAAATAACCGCGTGCCCTCTTAAGCCATCAGATGGAAGTTTTCCAAGAGGCAGAGCTGGATTAGACATAGACGTCATTTTACTCCCTGAACCTCCAATGAAGTGGTACTCTGATATCATGACGTGAGCGAATATATATACATATAGTAATTTCGTTTAAAGTGACATATTTCGTGGAAGGTATAATTTGGAGGCACTGATATAGATACAATGAAGGTGAAGGTATACGTGAACGGGAAGTATCAGGAGTATTGGTGTTGGAAAACTGAGATATTAGACATTGGGGTGGAGAAGATAAGGTTAATTTAGAGATGTGGTCAAATCGATCATATCTTGTACAGTTGGTGGGTGATAGCTCTTTAGAATGAGGCTGAATACGTGATCTGTCTAACCCTAACTTATAATAATATAACAAATTGGAATTTGGGGATAGAGGAATTACAATTGGCACTGAAGGGATTTGCAAGAACTACCATGGACCTTGATCTTGAATAACCTCATTTTAAACCAGGTACAGGTGGCTTCAACTGGGTCAGTGGGTGCACTCGCGGTATACATTACAAATGGATTAAGAGAGAAAAAATTGCAATGAATTTCGAGTTCGATGAATTTATGGAGATAATAGAGGGCCAAAATGGCCTATTGCATTGATGTACATCTTATGGAAGGAATTCCTGTCGTACCTAATTAAAGCAAGTTTTATTATGCAGGCAATTGTTGGAAATCACGTTACTTACACTACTAATTTTGTTTGATAATTAAATCGACCAACTCGAATTATAAGTTATAAGTTTGAAAGTTGGGGCCCTCTTTTCCTTTATAATTGAAGAATCGCCTTGTTTTTATGCGCTCTGATCTCTCAACCAACCAGCAATCAATAGCCACTGTGTGATATCCAATGGAGTATCACCTGATCGTCTTAAAATACTTTGGGAAAATGTTGCAGGTTCATTCGTATATGACTGAAGTGGTGGACGCAGAAGTATGTACATGACTGCAGATGAACTCTATGAATTGACATAAAGTACTGATTTGGCGAAAACAGTGGAGACAAAAGAGACTAAGTTAAGCTGCTATGGAGATACTAATGTCCCAGGGGTTCTCAATACAACTCAACTCCTCGTCAACCTAATGAGCACATTCCAGTTAGTGATTATAAATTGGGAGCGTGGTTCAAGTTGTAGACGACCCAGTTATTTGCATAGCTTTCGTTGAGATTATGGTCCAATCTGAAGCGTGTGTAGATGTAATCAAACAAGATTCGGCATTGCCTTGAGTGAATTAGGATGGTAGGTAAGGGAGTGCTCGATTTGAGGCATTCTGATTTCATTTTATGATAGCGATTCACCTAATGTGGAGCTGGCAGTTTTTAATTAGACCGAGTAAAGTTGGCAGTTGAGAGGGTTCGGGAAGAGCTTGGCAAAAACCCGCTTTATGCACAAACTCCCCCCCCCCTCTTTTCATTGATACTACTTTAAAAAACCAACCCTAACAGTGCTGACACGATGAAGACGTTCACAGAATGGAGAAAGATTTGGGTGTTAATTACATCTATAATGGTGAAAGGAAGTTCAAAAATGGTTGAGTGGTTTAAGAAATTCTCTCTTTTGTTAAGAGCGACCGAGGCGATGACAAAACGGATTGAGGAAATTGATATAAGTTATTAACAGCGATTGAAAATGTTTCGTTACAACAGTAATCCAATTTTTCAGCCGATGCAACCCCTACAATATACCATACAATCTCTCCACCTCTCAATCTACAAATTTTGGCTTAACAATGCCTGTGTAATGTGAATGTCACGATAAGACTCACCGTAGGTATGGTGGATGGATGTGCAAATTTTTAAACACACGTGTAAAAAGAAGAATTGCATTGCCATGAAGCATTTAAAAGTCAAGTGGTTTTTGGCCATACTAGGACAGAGTGCAAATCATTTTAGATTTAATCACTTTTCTAAAATTGTTCCATGCAAATCAGCTGTGAATTTAAATATTTTGATCGCATAAATTGGGCATAGCTAATTACTTGCAATGAAGATGATGCAGAAATAAAATGATTGAGGTCAAGAGTTTGCTCCCATCGTGCGCCTCATGTGAGTGGAATAGGCAACCGCACCGGCAAAGTCTGGTGAACCGATTGGGAGGACGAAGTTGAGTGTCACAGAGGAGACTCTACAATGGTAATATCAATGCTTTGCCAAATAAGTCGGAGTTTATGCTATCTTCTCTAAATTATTGCAAAATCCACTAACTTCAATTAAATTCATTTAGAGTAGATGAGCAGAGCACAACTCATGACCCAAATCCTCCAAGTGTTTTTAAAACTACCAACTATTACAGGCTCCTCCTCTTTTGTTAGTGGACAAAACGCCAAACGGTGCACGCCCTACTCACCAATAAATCTGGAAAAACACTGCGAAGGCTGGATCCACTCAATTATTCCTACTAACTTTCTTGGCTAGGAAATGGTAAGTTACATGCCAGCATTCTATTAAGTTAACAATCAATCCACCTAATCATTGATAATCACCCTCAAACAGCTTTATTACTGATAACTGATAAGTAGGAGGTGTGATAATCGAGTTGGAAGGCAGACATCAATGAGCTCAGAAACCCATAATCAAGTATGAATTGAACAAGTAGCAAATGCCTATTTTTTCATTTTATTTACAAAACAAGCATTACAGGTGAATGAGTGTACGCCAGTGCAGAAGATATACAAAGTGTTGAATGTGTGAAAACATTTAGAAGACACAAACTAATGATCGACGTTATTTCACACTAATATCAGCAGAGGCAGTCGAATCCGGTTCCAGGGGATTAACAGGTGTCGTCGAAGATGAATGAATTCCAACTTCAGGAAGATCAGATCTTTGAGATGTAGAAGGTGATCGATTCCTCCGTGGTGCTGGTGATCGACGATGACGACTACTGCGATGACTGCTTCGATAGGACTTCTTTCCACCTCCTCCTCCACGTCCTTTTGAATCCCTAGTTGCTGTCTTTCGTCTTGAACATAATGAGGATTCTGAGGCATTCGAAGACTGCCTGGGAGGAATGGCTAAGTTCGAACTACGATCACGAGAACACTCGCGACGCCTTTCTCTTGATCCATGTCGTCGAGAACAACGACCACTGCGGCCACCGTATTCTCGACCAGATTCTACTTCATATCTGTTTATAAATGGAAAATTATGTTTTAACTCCAACCCCATGGACATAAAAACCACTTTTACACTAAATGGCAATTTGCTTATTTCTCACATATTTACTAAACAAATTTCGCTATAGAAGAAAATCATGGAAAATTCTACTACAAAATACAATTAAAGATAGATTCTGGCGAGACTAGTCTAGAAGTCCGACAAAGCCATTTTCACCATCAACAGGCCCGTAGAAGAAGAAGAAGCCCTTACTAGGATTAATCTCGGAGGAGTAGAGGATCTTAGCAACCTCTTCTACCTAGACTTACTCAAATTATTATTCAGAAAATGTCGCTCACTCAGTCCGACGAGAAATCGTCACCTCTTTCAGGCAAATGAAAGTCATTTCTACTTCAATACAATACGACTTTACTATAATCCTACACAGTACGGCTGACCTTTACCCAATTAAGATTAAGCATAAACGACAAACGATTTTGATTTCAAGCTAAGTAGCAAAAATCAACTTATTCTAAAATAAATAAGAGAAAGACACTTAAAGAAACCGAAAGAGGGATAACAAATACAAAATACCCCGTTGTAAACTGTAGATATTTACTCCAACTAGTAGAGACTTCAAAATCGAGCAACTAATTTCCAGCCTACTTGATACAATAGCTTGCCAAAATCAATTTCGATGATTAAATAGGCAACTAGATTAGAGAAAGGACACAATAGTAACGAAAACTCACCGTCTCCTATGACAACCACGATGATAATCCCTGCTGTGAGAGCGAACTCGGCGACTCGAGCGACGGTCACTACAAATTTCCAGAACCATCAATTTGGGTGAAAAAGAGTTGTAAGTAGTAAGTAGAGAGTTAAATACTATAGAATCAACTTACCGATCGTACCGACTATCTGATTCGGCATCACGATAACGAGAGCGACGACTCCCGAAATCCTCCTCTGGACTAGAATCACGTGAAAGTAGTAAAAAACAATTACATCACAAATGAGACAAAATAGTGAGAGTGAATGAAAGCAAACTTACAACATGGTATTGGGAGAAGTATGAGATGGATTTCTTGCTCCTGGTTTACCACAAAGGCCTCTTGGAATGAGAAGAGGCGTCTGACCATTGCCTAGACTGGGGAAATCAGGAAGTCGTTTCGGGTGGAAAGTAGAACCAAGTAAATGTGGAGGAAGGCGTGTGTTCTTGAAACCAGATGAAGGAAAACTGGAAACATTCATGAATTTAGATAAAACAGTGGGGGGAGGAAACGCAGTAGCAGGAGGTAAATTAAGTGGTTGTGCTTGTGTCGAACCAAGATGACGATTTCTACTCTTCTCGGCATCATCCGCATTCATAGACTGCGAACGGCCACGATTAATACTTGTAATATCTTTGACATGCCGGCTAAGAGCACCGTTAACTCTGGGTCCACGAGAGTTGCCACCTGATAAATTAAGGCCCACTGCAGCTCCAATCACAACTGGTTTGATGGCGGAATTCGCATACTCTTCACGAAGAATCCTTTGATTCTCAACGTATTCATTCCAGGTGTCCTCAGTAAAGCCATAATTAAAGTAGTCAGTTATATCAGCACCTGGCCTTTTCCAAGGTTTGTCTTCATATTTGAGACCACTTTTGATATATTTATAAGTAGAAACGCCTTTAGTATTCTCTGGATGCTTAGGATTAATGTCTCGCCTAAAAAACCGCAGCGATCTTGCCTGATAAGTACTTCCTATTTTGTATCCCCCACCTTCGGTTGGTCTAATTATAACATCAAAATTGTCATCGTCTGAGTCTTCAGCATCATCATCATCAGCATTGTCATCCAAGTCTGCATTATCAACATCTTGCGAATGTTCATTTCCCGGTACTCCGTATTCTTCACCAATGTTTATATTACTTGTACTTTCTGTGCTACTCAAAAGTTGATTCGATGCATTCTCGTCTTCATTATTAAAACTCCTTGTTTCCTTCATCGATTCTTCATGTGCATTACTCGATTGCATCTCAGCAACAGGAGAACTCTCTCGATTAGTGGCCATCATAATTACGCCTCAAGACAACCTTGCCTTTCTACTGTTTAAATAACTTGACTAAACAAATGTATCTTAAATCAAAACAAGTCAAATAACATGAAATAATTATAGTTATAAAATGTTTTTAAAATTAAAATCATTAAAATATTATATAACAACGCATTTGAATGAACATTTGATAATCGGCTTAAAATGTACGTTCCGAATTATTCTTTTATAGACAATGCTGTTTTTTAAAAAATAAAACTTAATCCTGAAGATTATTAATATCTCATTTCGATGTTTCGTTTCCTTATGATTCAAAGATACGACGATTGCTAAAAATGCGAAATAATAGATTTGATATATTTTTATTGCATCTTCGACTACACAGTTACGTCAATGGAAGAATTTCCAGGTTTATAATAATCTAACGCTCTTATTTGCAAATAATTTGTTTTTATATCTCCAGTTTCGTCGTTTCATGTGTTCATTGATAATATCTGCGATTCTGGCTATGTGTCGTGTACCAATATTTATAATGACAAAAATATATACTTCGAATTTGTGCTTCATGTTCAAATGGCAAATTCAAAATATTCTTCTTACGTTTGACGCTATATTTGGACAATTAATTACATATTTGACATGTCTCCTCTAAATCACATCCTTCTACTATTATTATAGCCAACTTCAAGACACATGACTGAATATATAAATACGGAGAAACATATTGTGTTTGGTATTAGGCGATGTAATGTTATTGATAAACGCTAATTAAGCCGATTTCTTTCAACTTGGGACAAAGATAGCATAAAGCTTTGATGAGATTTATCCAAACTTCGTATAGCTTTTAAAGGTCACCTCCATCCAAATTGTGGGGCTCACAACGTCACCACTAGACAATTAGTCTCTTGCTCTAATATCAACCATTTACTACAAGCTCTAGATTACTTCGTCCCCACAACATTGGCCTCCTTGGTTCCATCTGCACTTCAACTCTTACATTCAAGTCTTTGAACTCAGATATTGGTTAGCTTACAGGCAGTTAATAAGGCAAGTCTATTATTAAACAGTGTTCATCGTCAAATTTTATTACACGAAAATTGTTCTCCCATTTATTAATGACATCCATTATTGGTTAATTTTTGGATCCTGCAATTAACGGGGAGTTGGAGTATTTCACTCCGTCATCCTTATGTGGTTTGGGAACGCGTATGCTCACCATAATTGACCAATTGATTGTGAATACCCTGTTTTGTTAAATGACCTCTATTCCCATTTTGATATATCCTTTCCGTTATATTTTTGCCAATGCATTCATTAACATTTGTGTCACTTTGTAATTTGGCAAATACCTCTTTTCCTTTTTATAATCAAAGCCACTTCAAGATATACCCAGTCTATAATCCACCCCACAATAGACCCAACTTCGATATTCTGAACATCTTACAATACACTGTAGTATTAGGAGACTCTATCGCCCATTCCACCAGATGGGGCTATAAGAACATAAACATAGCTGGAAAGGAAATCGGAGACATGGTCAACAGTAGCTCACAAGAGCTTATTTACAGCGATGAGGATCCTGCTTTATATCTGCATTACAATGGAACCAGAACAACTTCTCACTTGCTCCTGGCTTCCAGCGACATCAGCGAACAGACACACCACAAAATAATTCACGATTCCGCTTCTGGTCACAAACCAGTCGTTACTAGTATTACCATTGGCAGCAAAAGCATGACACCGAAAATGCTAACCAAGCTTTCATGGAACTTCAAGAAGGCTGACTGGCCTAGATTCACTAACCTCTTAGAGAACTAATTTCACTCAAATCCCATCAACTTCAACCAACATCCTGACAAACTGTGCAAAAATATCACGAATATTATGATCAGATGTAGAAAGAAAACTAATCCCCGTGACAAGGCTAAACACTATCGAGTATTCTGGTGTGAACACCTTGAGAAAAGGAAAAGAAATCGGGACGCCGATCACAACACTGTCGAATAGACTGGGAGAACGGAAGACGTACAAGTCTGGAAACGGCAGTCAGCTGTCCTAAAGCAAACCATCTTACAAGCTAAACGGACT